ATACAGGTTTGAAATCTGACATGAAAATTCTGAATTTCTACGTCGATGTTAGCAGAATGGTCTCAATGCCTTGAGGACTTGTAGATAGATATAAATGTTTCGGAGGTACATACTACCGTCATTTTCAGAGCTAAACTTCAAAAAAAAGTTTCTTATTACATTTCTTGTATTTTTGTTTCTTGTCATTCTATCAGTCCCCTTCTGAATGCCCCTTAAGTAGAGAATCACGATTCTTAAAATTTCGTGACGAAGAAGGAGAGAGAAATTTCTTTAGTAGGAACTGATTTATTATTGACGAAGAAGTATCTTGCAAGAGAATGGTAAATCGTGCTAACACTGCAGGATTAAGGATTACTGAAGAATACTTATAATATAAAGCTACATATAAATAAAATAAGATAAGGGAAGGGAAGTTTTCTAGTTACAAGAATGTGTGTGTAACTGCATAACGCAGTTACAGATAATTAAATGAGGCTGCATTGTTCAAGAACCCAGTGTTAGGTGGACTAAGCCTTCTGTATAAAGAACTCAATAAATAAATGAAGTCCCCACTTGTCTCCCCTTTATTCGTCTTCTCTCTATTTATACAATTCATTTCGATTCTTTTCTGTATTCATCAATCGTGACTTCATGTCCTGAAACGAATACCAGTAGAACTAAAAAAAAATTACGTGAAATTTAATTACATAATTAAAATATATAATATAATTCAGGTCTATACACAAACTTTATTTACAGATGTTAAAATTTAAAATTTGCGCTATTCATCGTTACTACGATGTTACAATACTGCGCCTTCATTTACTACATGTTTCGATGCGTAGCATCATCTTCAGGTTTTTCCTTTAAAACTACTTTATATTACAATGCAAGTTTTTCAATTTATTCAATCATCTTCAGGTTTTTTCCTTACTTTTACAAATATACAACAATATTCCAAACTTATTTACATATAAATAAATAACTCATATGTTAATTAATTTATTCACAGAATAATGGAAAACAAACATAAGATACATAAAATAAGAAGATCAACAGAACACATACTATAATAATTTACAAAACAGATGAATAAATTGAAAAACTTGCATTGTAATATAAAGTAGTTTTAAAGGAAAAACCTGAAGATGATGCTACGCATCGAAACATGTAGTAAATGAAGGCGCAGTATTGTAACATCGTAGTAACGATGAATAGCGCAAATTTTAAATTTTAACATCTGTAAATAAAGTTTGTGTATAGACCTGAAGTATATTATATATTTTAATTATAAAACACAAACATGACGCATTTAAACTTTAAACTTAATTACATAAGATTTTATCTGATTTAATAAATGTAAGATGAGTCATAACATTTTATTTAATAATAATGAAGTGACAAAGTCAGAACTTCAAGTGTTCAAGACGAAAGGAGAGAAAATAAAATTCGGTACATGAGATTTGTTGATTTCGGTCTTGCGAGTTGTAATGTTGTATTGACTCGTAGGTAGAGATCAACGTTTCGGAGGAACATACCGCCTATATCTTCTGGGCTGGTGTCGAAGGATAAATCTCAGTTTCATTAGAGCGCCAGATTAGGCACGTGCAGTGACAAAATTATGAGTGGATGCTGAAGTGAAGTGAAGTGAAGTGAAGACGGGGGAGGTAGGGTATTTGATGTGTCGAGGCTTGAAAACGGATGAGTGATAGCTTAATATTACTCCCTCGGGAGGTTTCAGCACTTCCTCTCTTTTCTTATTTCTTCATCTATTTTTTTTAAAGTTCTCGTTTCTTTTTCACCTATTCTCTTCATTCTCCTACGTATTTTCTTTACTTCTCATTTTCTCCAAAGTATTTTCATGTCACTTTCTTAAATATCTCCAAGCACTTACTCCGTCCTTCTCGCACAGAAGTTCCAATCTCGTAATTAAGACCACAGCTTTCTTCAGTCCTCGCTTAATCCCCCTATAACGAAAACTCTTGCTTCCTGTAATATCGCCCGTTACTCAATCTCAGTCACACCACGCCACCTCAGGAATACGCAGAAAAATATATTCGTTCCGTATATTTAAGGTTTTACTCTAATAGGGGTGCCCAATCCGTTTATGAGACATCTCTGAGGTCAAAAGAGCCCTCCATCGGTCTCTGTCCTGAACTACACGATTTAACATGAACGATTTCTGAGTTACTGCGCTGGTAAAAGTTTACCGACGTTTCAGATATGCTTGCTACTTTCATCATCTTGGTGATGATGATCTGATGACGGAGGCATCAAACATCTCTTAAACGTCTATAAATTTATACTAGACTACACGGTTGAACATCCCAAATGACAGCCATCTTCACCCAATGAATCCAATTAACTCATCTCTACTATAAAAATTTCTGATTCCCCGTTGTCGTCAA